GAATTAAATTGATTACTAGAAAATTTGATATTACCTATATAGTTTGTATTCTATTTCTGCTGGACAATGTTGGTCTGGAATTTTGGTTCTAACTCAGTTTCTGAGAATATTAATAGGTTTCATGTGAAAAGGTGTCATTTTGTGAAATTGGCTTTGGTGGAATGTAGGGTTAAACACAGTTAAACAAGTCACTTGACTCTGGGGGCTTCTCAGAGCCTTTGATCTACTGCTGTGCCTTGTCAGTCACTAGGAAAGAGGTGTGGCCCACAGCTTTTCCTGTAGTTACATTTTTAAACAGCTTTGATCAGGCATAACTGACATACAGGAAACATTTTCTTACATATTTAAAGTGTACAGTTTGACAAGTTTTAACATATTCATACACCTGAAGAAACCACCACCAAAATCCATATGGTGTTCACTCCGTTATCCCCATAAGTTTCCTTGTGCCCCTTCTCTCACTGTAGATTACTTTACACTTTTATATCAATGGAATCATATAGTGTATACGCTTTTTGTATGGCTCCTTTCACTCAGAATAGTTATTTTGAGATTCATTCATATTGTGGGTATCAGTATTTCATTGTGTCCTTTTTATCACTGTGTGACAAGGGAATGAGGAGGAGACAGAGTTGTTGTTAGGTGTCATCAAGTCGTTTCCAACTCATAGCAACCCCATGCACAGCAGATCGAAATACCGCCCAATCCCGCACCAGCTTCCTGATTCTTGCTTGTCACAGCCACTGTGTCAGTCCATCTCATTGAAGGCCTTCCCCTCTTTCGTCGACCCTCCACCTTACCAAGCATGATATTGTTCTCCAGGGAATGGTCCCTTCTGACAACATGGCCAAAGTAGGTGAGACGAAGTCTGGCCGTTCTCACTTCAAAGGAGCATCTCAGCTGCACTTCCTCCAGGACAGATCTGTTAGTTCCTTTAGCAGTCCATGGTGCTTTCAGCATTCTTCGCCAGCACCACAACTCAAAAGCATCAGTTCTTCCTCCATCTTCCTTATTCATTGTCCAGCTCTCACGTGCATATGAGGAGATTGAAAATATCATGGCTTGTGTCAGGCACACCTTAGTCATCAAGGAGACATCCTTGCTCCTCAGCACTTGTAAGAGTTCCTTCACAGCTGACCTGCCCAGTGTTACATGTCGTCTAATGTCCTGACTGCTGCTTCCATTGGTGTCGATTGTAGAACCAAGCAATGTGAATTCGAGGAGAAAGAGAAAAGGATAGAAACATGGTTCTTCCCAGTACTCACTGTGCCAGAACCGAGGAAGCAGTTTTAGAAGAGCCACAGTCTGTAGGAAACTGTTCTTATCTTACTTTTTTCAAACTCGTTTATTGACATCTGATTTACATAAAGTAAAGCTTACCCTTTGTGTAGTGTACAGTTCTATAAATTTTAACAAGTGGCATACAACCATATATACCACTATCACAATTTAGAACGCATTTCCGTCACCCCCAGAAAACCCCTCTTCATGCTGCTTTGCAGTGAATTCCCTTCCACACTCCCACCTCCAAGTAATCCCTGAGCTGTCCCTCTTTGCTGTGTTTTTTCCTTTTCTAGGATTTCATATAAATGAAAACAGCCTTTTGAGGCTGGTTTCTTTCAGCAATATATATATATGTAT